AGAAGAGTTTACTAGAAGGAAGTTTCCTGATAAGAAACCGATGGGTAAAATCCCAAATCACCTATCACTCTTTTTTTTTTTTTTTTAGCTAGAGAAAATAAGCATGCTGTTGGGAGAGGTCATGCTCCAACAGTAAGACCAAATGTAATATGACTTTCGAGGGCCATATTCCTGTGAATGCATGAGCGGAGGGGTTAAAGCCCCAATCCACGCAGAACTGAATCATTGAAACAGAGCCTTCATCTTGCACTGAAACGTCGCTCTATGCGCTCACTCGGAAACGGTGCGATGCACCTGTGGAAAGCTGGTAGCGTGCATTATCTTCATGGTGTCGCCACAAAATGGCTTGGGATAGAGTTCGTGGGCTTGAAATCGCGTGTGAGATGTTGCTGGGGGCAAGGTGGCAGCTGAGCCAAGCGTGCTCAACTTGGTCCCTTGTTTCTCTGCGTAGATGGCGGTGTCAAATATACAGACCCAGCCCCTCTCAAACCACCCGTAAGAGGCTGTTAAGTGTAATACAGCCTAAGCTTAGCTGGGGGTCAAATGACACTGCAATACAAATGAATGACAGTAACGCTACCTGCCAGGATTGCGGAGGGAATCGCATGTAGGAGGGTTCCCAAGACGTGTCCCTTGTAGGAGGATACCAGGCGCAGTTTTATCCATTTATGCTAGGAAGACACCCGGGGTAAAAACTTTGCTACCCATTTCCACCGTTCGGCCCAATTGTCCCTTCATTCGCATACAAACTGCAGATAGTGAAGAGCCTGTCCCAAATTATGCCAGCCGTGGAGCACGCTGGCTGTTTTTACGGAGGAAAACATCACACCTCTTTGTCGAGACCCCCAGCCTAGCTTTGCATCAACCCCACCCATCTGCTCTGAGCTTCAATCTGCGTCCCTTGGCTTTCAAATCAGGCACATTCAGGAAATACAGTTGAAACGAGGAGTCTATTTATCCAATTTATGTTTTAATTAACGAAGATTAAAGTCTTCCTTTCTGGATAGGAAGAGAGACATGGGGTGTGTGATCTTCTTCCAACGTTTTTGTTGGGACAGTTTCAAGACCGAAGCTTTCGCTGATCTTCGATTTGCTCCCTTTGAGGCATTTCTGTGGCCTGGGTTTTCAGTTAACTGATGTTATAGCCATATACGTATTTCCCTCCCCAGGAATTTGAATCTGGAGAGATTCGCAAGCTTTAATGTCTCAGGCCATTGTTCGGCAGCCAGTTCAATGCTTGCAACATGCCACAAAAAGAGAGAGCACATGCCCCACATCCATAGCGATATGCTTCCCAAGGATAACATGATTGAAAGTGCCTAAATAAAAGTATCTTGACCTCCTACCTCCTGTACCATTTCTCTCTGTCCATTTATAGTCTAAACAATTCACCGAGATGTCAAGGCCATCATTTTTTACCTGCAATGAAATTGTGTAAGCTTGTCTAAAAAGGCCAATATTGATGCATATTGGCACTGAAAAGGGGAACCTGTGAATCTTGCAACCAATAAAACCCTTCTCCTTTTGAGGTCAGCGACAGAGAGACTGCAAGCCTCTGGTCTCTGCAGACAAACCCATCTGGTGAACCGGCACTGCTGTTTTGCAACTTGCTTCTGAAATGAAACACCCGAGTTCAGAGATGGGTTTAGCTCCTGGGACTGGTATTACAACACAAGCAGCCTAACAAGTCCATGTGCTTTAAAAGCCAGATACAACAGCGAGATAAAAATCAGAAATACACCTGGGGATCTACAAGTAAAATCCTTCAAATCCAAAAAAGCAGGCCAGCCTCTGCTACTTTAGAGAAAGGACAACTTTTATCCTGCAGGTCTTTTATCATCCGCTAGCAGATAACATCCCTCGCACACACAGCCGGAAACGCTGCGCACCTGTGGGTGTAGGTTCAGTACGGTTAATGATGGCAAAGCTGAATATATTGACGCCGTCCGGATGGGACGCGGTTTCGGCTTCCTGGAGAAATGCTGCAGCTTAGCTTTGGCACCCGGGCAGGATCCGAGTTGATCCATGGTAGAAATGCAAAGCATTGGGACCAGGATCTTTCAGGTTTGCCAGCAGCAATTGCATCTTCCCTCCCACCCCAGCCATGAGGCTAATCCAAAGCATCCTGCTTTAATCCTCCTGTGGGTGCATGGGGAAAGCAAACAAGGGCCTGCCACAGTTCATTATGAGAGGCTGCAACTGCTCTGGCTTCCTGTCTCCAGGCTTGCATCTGAACGGCACTACTGGGTCGCCAGCGGTCATCAGGAGGGCTCCATGAACGGTCGTGCCAGTTCCCACAGCATTTCCTTTGATGCTATGGAAAGTCAAACCTTTCATGCTTGGATCCGTGGCCTTGGAGGATGTGTCCAGAAGTCCCTAGATAGCTTCCCTTATCCCACAGGGTGCCCCCAGCAGAGGAAAAGCCCCAGCTGGAAAGGGGAGTCTGGTTTGAGAGAAACTGCAAGTGCCCCCAGGTCAGCAGAAACTCAGCCAAGGCCATAAACTCTGCTGTTTTCGGTACCCCCTGCCAAATGATCTGTCCAACGAGCATCACCGCACTGACTTCCTCCTTCCCTTGATCCATCTCATCTAGTGAGATGCTTTGAGACGGCAGTAGTCTTCCTCTCGTTGCGTGCATGGTGGTTACAACAAAATGCAGCCTCTCTAACTACAACCAATTAATACAAATCAGCACTTGCATCGTCAGGAGAGGTGGTGGGCTCCAGAAAGAAAGAAAAGGTGGAGTCCTGCTGAAAAGCTGGATCTCAACCTCTGATACTTTGGTTAGAAATACAAGGGGCTCAGGCAGCAGCAGGAACAGCTTTGCATTTTTTATTTTTTGGGGGGATGGGGGGGAGAAGCACTTAAACTTGCAGCCAAGACAGCGTGAGAAAAATTTCAGAGCATGCCACAGTTCCCCCCGCCAGCAAAGACCTTGTTTCCACGTCTCTCAAAACCAGAGCAAGATTGCACATCGTGTCTCGTGCACATCCTCCCAGGCCTCCACTTGACACCAACCCCAGCGGCCATCTCATCTCTCCATGGGCGTTCAGCCTGCTCTCTCCCCGGGGAGCTCAGAGCACGCTGCCAAACTAGTTAGTTAAAAAAATATAACAAAGCCACATATTGTTACCGTCGCTACAGTCATTATCCAGTAGTACAGCACCACGTCCGGGTGAACTGTTGTCTGTTCATATTTTTAATCTACCTAAATCCAGGATGGAAAAAATCCCACCCAACAAACCCTCATTGTTAGAGGTTTGTTTATAAGCATCATCATCCGACTAAAAGGTGAACTGCTAAGGAAATTTTACATTGTGATGATCATGGCCAATCTTTCACTCTTGACTCAGGAAAGACCGTGGCCCATTTGACTATTTACCCAGTGCGGAGCAGGTGGGAACGCGTTGCAAAACTTCTGTGACCGTGGCACATGCTCGGTGTCGCTGCTGTCTGTGCTAGCGTCCACCCTGGATGGGGGCGAACTTCCACCCTGGACGGGGGCAGAGTGAGATGTGGCTCTTTGCAGGGAGCTGCCTGCCCTGGGAGGGTATGGGCCATCAGGACCTGAATGGGGCTATTTGCCTAAGAAAAGGAAAGACTTGGGGAGGACAATGGAAGCCACAACTGGAAATGAACCTTTAACAACTGCTCTGATAAAGTGTAGATCGGCTAAGGGGCCCAAGCATGGACCCTCTGCTAACCCTAACACCATGGGAGTCTTCCTATAGGTGTCATGGGGGCCAGGGAATAATTTATTGCAACCCCTTACTGGAAGCCCTGAATTCTCCCTTCATACAGACTAAATTTGCACCCCTAATGCTGGGGTGCAACTAGTGTATGCTCATCTCTGCACACTCCCTATCCCCCTACTCTCGGCTCTAAAGGCATCCCCTATTCTTCTTGCACGCAAATCATGAAATGCGGTGCACTAACATGAGTCTAGGGGGATGCAAGTCGGGGAAGGAATCAGACTTCCCTCTGCTTTCCTCCTTAACTGGGACATAAGCCAGTCCTAAATCCGGTAGGGACAATTCAGGTTGACCTCACATAATACACTCTATGAAGGGGAAGAGGCACTTGCGGGTAGTAGATAATACACACGATTTGCTGAGCATATAGCCCAGGGGTGGGCAAAATGCAGCCCGCAGGCCAGATGCGGCCCGCCAGGCCATTCTATCCAGCCCACGGGGCACCTAAAAATGTAAAAAATTAATATTTATCTGCCCTGGGCTGCCCGTCACGCGGCCCTTGATGGCTTGCCAACACTCAGTAAGCAGCCCTCCGCCCAAAATAATTGCCTGCCCCTGATACAGCCTGTCAGCCACTAAATCAGAGAGCTTGAATTAAGATGCTGAGATCCCAGATGGAGGGGACCTGAATAAAAGCCTGCATCCTCCTGTATAGCAAAGGGATCAGGTTTGTTTGGTTTTTTTGCAGAGGGTTGGTTTGTTGTTTGTTTTTAAAAGGACCGTTTTATGAAAAAGTTGTGCCCACAGTTAAATTGCATTACTTTTATTAGAGTTATTGCTTTCAGCTAGTACAGTGACAATGATCAGGCAAGAGTTGTTTTTACAACTTGCATTTTATGGTGGGATAGAGCTATTTAAGGTAGACTAGGTATAGGAACATTTCAATAGCTTTTAATAACCAGACCATCAAACTTGAGCATACAAATTAAGAGGTAGACTGTGATGGTCTTATTTTATTTTGGGGTGCTTGTTTTTTTTTGGGGGGGGGGGGGAGGGGGTTACACAAAGCATTGAACACGATCAACACATTTACCATTGATCTGAAGGTCATGTGCATGATCAGAAAAGCTGCCATTGTTCAGGGAATTAAAAAAAAAAAAGGCTCCTAGACATCTTCCCACTCAGTATAATATCAATCTTAGCACAGGACATTCATTCAGGACTGGAAAAGTGTTGGTTCATTTGGAGAAAGCAAATCAGGAGTAGGGTATTGCTGGAGAAATGACAAAGGGGAGGAGTTCACCTTCCTGACTATGGCTATCAGGTCTGACCATGACTACTTACTCCAGTATAAAAACTCTGAGCAGAAATATGATCACGGACTAAGGACTCTGATCAATTCTGGCTCCCTCCCCGAGCCTATCTAAATCAGAAGGTAGATAATGGAAGTGCTGCTCCTTTTCCTGCTCGCCCTGCACACTGCCAGGACAGCAACAGAAGGTAAGACCTCGCCTGCTCTTCCCACTCCTAGGTATCAAGGTGACTCTTGCTTTGTAGTTTGATTTTTGAGTACCACCCTCAAATCATATATAACAAATCTGGGATTTGCTTGTCTCTCTCTCTCTCTCAGGTCATTTATAGCACAATAGCACACGTGGATTTATTCTCATTATTGTTTGGCTAGATTTTACCTTTATGGATTCTCATTTCTTTCCTTTCTGCGAGAAAACCTACATGTCATTCTAAATCTTCCTGCCAAAGATGCATCTCTTTTGTCTGTACAAAATACTAATATAAACTGCATACTTTATTTCATCTTTCCTCCAATATTGCTATGGTCTCTTTGAAGTATAAAAAAAAAAAATGAAACAATTCAGGTTGTCTCTTAAGAGGGAGAACAGGCTAGCTTGTGCTACTTTATCCAGGTAGAGCTATTTTGTTTAAAGATCAGCAGATAGTTGAAATATGACTATGAAACACAAATTTAACTGATGATGAAGGCTTGATATCAGGTTAGGATGTAATATTAGTATTTAAAAAAAATGCAGGTGGCTTATATTGGGTTAGAGGAACACTACGACACGGAATAAATATCCCTTCCCATAGAAAGAGAGAGACAGACTCAAAATTAAAAATAAACACTGCAGAGTCCTCAGGTAGTAATGAAGCATCATTTGGCCCTACAAAGGAACAAGCTGGATTCAGAAAAAAAAATCCATATGATTTAACACCTCTCAGGAAAATGCAGCCCTGAGACTGACAGCTTGTTAAACAGATACAGATCTCCAGCAACTAAACCAGCTCAAGAGTCACTGGCCACATTTCAAGTAGCTAAAGTCTAAGGTGCTTGGAAATTACAGCGGTGAGCCCAGGTTGAGAACTCGAATAGGATTGAAAGGAAAAGACTTTCTGTTCATTTCAGGGGTTTTTGAATGCCCCAAATCAACAGACCAGTAAATTTACCTTTGCCATTCAGAGACGTGTCCTTGCTATTGTGCACTGTCAGCCTTCTGTTACTTAAGGTTTCCTATAAAAACCTTCCCGCATGTAGTGCAGGTCTGTGTGCACACACACACACACACACACAGACACAATCAGCCTGTGCCTTTCCAAGCCTCCTACTCTGATCCGAGCCTCCAGCTAATAACGTACATTTATTTTGCCGCATTCTTGTGCTGATTTTTTTTCAGAAGAGATTGAGGCTTTTAAACCATTGCAACAATTGATTTCTGTTTGCAATATTTAAAGACAGAGCTGGAGTCTCCACGGCTCTTTTTTGTTGATGGTTTTTACTATTAGGAGATCTGTCTCGGGAGGATATTGGTCAGGGCTGGATTAATAGCAAGGCTGATGGGACTACAGCCTGCAACCCCTCTAGCTGACATTTCACACGATAATCATCGTCTTTGTACTAGCTCATTTTATGCAAAGCTCCCACCAAGTGCTTTATAAAGGAGGCAAGTATTATTGTCCCCATTTTACACACAGGGAAAACTGAGGCACAGAGAAGCGAAGTGGCTGAATGAAGATGAACCAGTTAAGCATCCACTGCCCTGTCTCTGATAACTATGCCCCGATTGCAGTATAGCAGCACGTTGTTAAACATCAGGAATAATATCACGGTGATGCACAGCTTCTAAATTTCTGCCCATAACTCATTAACAAGAGCAGGGATGTGCCTCCGAGGGATCCAGCCAGTCCCTCCTGGAGATCAGCGACCTCCTAACGTGGGACCTTAGTGGACGGAGCCCGAGAATATCCTAGGGAGCCCCAACAGGGATGTCTGAAGCCCTTGGAGAGAAGATTTTTTTTTTAAAAGCCGAATTCAGTCTCCAGCTACCCCTAGCACAATCACCATTGTTAGCATATTCCGGTCTAGATGTGACACGACAGGATTATAACAACTGCCAAAGCAGGGATTGAGAAATAATTTCCTCCTAGGGTTTATGGGCTGGGACCTTGTGGGGTTTTCACTTTACCCTTGAGCAGAGGAAGAATCAACCATTAAGCGTGCCACTTAATCTGTTTTCGGAAAGGGAAGGGTCACATGGCAGATTTGATTGCTCACGTCTTCACGATCCATTTTTAATTCTCACACGGGTAAAAACTTGCTAGGCTATTCTGGCTGGCACTCGTGGGACCTACATGAACCCCTAGCTAGCCCTGTGCCCCTGCAGTGCTGATCAAATACGAAGTATGTGCTGTTCACAACTAATTAGTGGGGTTCTCGTCCTTCTTTTCCATTTCCAGATACAGCGGCAAGAACCGCCAATAGATTAGTATTACAGAACCAGTAAAACGATGTCGCTTAAACATACATGCCCGAGATCAAAATTTGCACCAGGGGCGTGAATAAAGGAAGGACACGAAGTGTATTATAACTGCAGAATACAATAGGGTAGCTGCTCAGAACAAGGAGAGGGGAAATGGTTTGCAAGTCCTTTCCCATTCACCCATCCACCATCTCTGCCCATTCACCCATCCAGCACATGATTAAGTAACATCATGATTTTGGAGTAGTTACCCTGGCCATCACAACATAGCTTTTTGACCTTATTTAACATCTTTATGCAGGATGTTGGCTGGTGCTTCCTTGTCCTCTTAGCTTGTAAGCATGCAGCGACTGACTGCCAGGACGCTTGCAAAGCCGTGTCCAAGTTGGCCCGTGATCATTCGTATGTGGCATGCTAAGTTCAGAAGCAAGGGCAGCCCGTGCTCGCAGGTTATCGTGCGTGTGTGGACCAGTGATACCACCCAGCCATATTTCACTTTCTTTGCCGTTCTCCTGCTCACCTCGTGAATCTGACAAGCAGGCTTCAGTCCTCGGGGGACTTGACAGCTCTGTCATCTGTTGCATCAATACAACACTGAGCACTTACATAGGGCTTTACACCCTCCAAGTGCTGTATAAACATTTACTAATGAACCCCTCTCATTACACATTAATCCTACAGTTAAACATTAACTAATGAATCTTATGGAAGAGATTCTTAATAGCCAATAAAAGCAGAGCCATGGACGAGCCCGTGGGCTCAGCCAGTCAGGAGTGGGGTTTGGCTCGTGGTTGAGGACTTTGGAGGGCAGAAAGGGACTCGGCGACTTGATAAAGAGACCTAAAGGGGGACGCGAGGAAAAGGATTTGGGGATCCTGGGGACCACTTATGCCTTTCCACAGGATTAGGATGGGGTTAGAGGTTGGTAAGAAAGCTGTGGAAGGGCAGCAATTTCCACTGAGTTGTTTCCTAAACACAAACCATCCAGCACCGAGTACAACGAAGGAGCATTGTGGTCTATTCTAGACAGAAGAGATCAAGAACCCTACTTTTCTTCTTTATTTAGCCACTCCTGCCCTCTCCTTTTTTGGAGAAAACCACAGCATGATGGGCATGGAGTCAACCCTATGGATTATCGGGTCCATCTAATGCTGTCCCTTCATTGCAGCTAATATCATGCTTATCGTGTATTCAGGAACAACACGGCCTTCCAAATCTTTAGTGCATCAAATTCAATTTGAACAAGCTAGAGATGGACCTGAATAGCTGGAAGCCCCAGCAGCTCTTTATTTAAGGGCAGTTGCATGTGCTCTTAAAGGTCGTAGCTCTTAGAAGGCTGCCTGTCCTATTCAGAAGGGTATTATATCATGTAAAGACTATGCTTTGACTCTTGAATGCATCACGTCACTCTTGCCAGGCAGGCATTGCTTCGTTACGTAGCTGTAGAGAAGGCAGAAAGTGTAACCACCTGCACGGGCCTCTCTGAAAACCTTCCTGTAAAGGCCTTATCTATATATGAAGTCATTCAGGGAACACGATTCCTGAATAACCACATCGTGACTCGTATTTTGGGATCCCAAGTTCCTTGTTCCTCATTTGGCCCAATCCACATAACCTGTGGCTCACGTATCACAGTCTTCAGGAACAACTATCCCAGCAAGATCAGCCCCCACCTTAATCAGAATTAAGTTGCAAGTCACACCTCAGAAATACTACTCAGGAGTCAGAAATACAAAATCATCCATCACAGCGGTTGCCTCCCTACCCATCCAGTAAGGTTTACTATTGTTGCCTATAACAAAGCAATGGATGCCTCACTCCACAATCAAAGCACAAATGCAAATGTCCCCTGGCTGGATGGATGCTTGCTCTCTCGAGTCAACAAAGGGGTTAAGGATCCCAGGAGAACAAACTGTTTGCTGTGCTGGGGCACCTGGGGGCAACATGGCTCAAAGTTCACAAGTTATTTTTCACGAAGTTTGCAATCTGTTTCTGGTAACATCTAATGAGCCAGTGGAATTTTCTCTCATGCATACAGAGTCAACATCATTAATAACGGTAATTTTAAGGACCGGTCTACACAAGTGAGTACATCAGGCTGTTGGGATGAACTCACATGGCTTAGCTGACCCTCATTGCAGAAGCACAGCAGCCACGGTTCCTTAACAGCCGCGTCCAGCTGCCTCCGCAGCCCTCTTCGACCCAACACATTGCTTGGTAGGAGAAAAGAGAACATCAGACATTAGCCTGGCAGGAAAAAAAGATAACACTTACCAGCAATTCATTTGCTCTGACATTACCTTCTACTATAGCAAAGGATGCCAGTTTGAGACCATGTACAGGCACCATCCATAGGCTGTTTAATTTCTAGCTAACAAGGGCATACGCTGCCCACAGGCCCGTTCTGGGGAACTGGAAGCAGAAGAGCATTTCTGGCAAAGGGACCCAGGAGGTCAAACGACTGCCCGAGTTACCAACCCTAAATTTGCAATAGGTGCACACCAAAAAGCATGGCTAAGGCCAAGACTTAGAGGGGCATGGCTACTAGAGCACGGAAACTGCAAAACTAGGGTAATACCGCAGAAAAACTTTGGTTTCCTTTTTTTATTACTATTTGACCCTGGGTCCCAGAGTTTACCTGGTGCTGTTCTCAAGAAAAGGAAGTAAAGCCAGATACTTTAGAGGAGCAACCACCCTTCACCCACATTTGTTTTATGAGAAGCTAGT